AAGAGCGCAGACGCAGGAAGAAGGAAATGTCTAAAATTCCAACAGTGCTAGCGACCCCCATGCCCGTGTGAGATGTGCTCAATATCTCCCACAACTGCGCTTACCAGACGTGAGCGAACGTGAAACCGATCGATATTTTTGAATCGACTTCAGAGAGTGGATATCAATCGTGCCCATTTAAAATGAGTCACACAAGATATCGTTAAGCCTCTGTCGACTTCGATCCTCCTACTCGCCTCCGGGAACTTGGTGTCTACTCGGGACGCAACAGCAACCGTGACAGAAACTCAAACCAAACTTTTGGCAAGGGGAATGAAGACAATAAAATCTGGCTGATTAGCGACACTTCACAGCCTGAATTTGGAGTCACAAGCTGCGAGAGACGGTAAAAGGCGTAGATTGAATATTAAGTATTCCAGAAATCACATGTCCACTCGTGTGGGTGTCTACTTTTTCTACAAACACCGTAATCTGTGATACGACCGACAGTGAATGCGCACTCAAATCAGTTTCTAAGCAAAAAAAAACAGGGAGTGTCATTGCGTCAACCTTGGAGGGTTTGCGTTAAGACATTTTGTTTCATTCAGTCACCTTCCGAAGATTGTTATCGCACATTTCCCACATAACGCACACTATTTGTAAATGTATTCACCGAAAGAAGCTCCTGTAGTTGTCTTTGGAGATTCGACATCTACGATTAGTACTGTTGTGGGCCCAGCATGTGGTCTTGAACCACGCCGGGGCCAGTAAATTAGCCCTAGCCCCATTACGTTTCTCTGATGCCCACATCGAAGAAGACCACCGGAGAGGATGTCGACACAACCGTCTACTTCAGAGCTCAACCACGTTAATGTCGTGGGTGGGGTTTGCGCGTGTGTATTTACACCTCGGATGTGTGAGTTATACCTGCGCTAACACCAAGACCTAGGTGTGAGGATAATCCAAGTTAAATATTCATGCGAATGAGAGGGGAGTTGAGGATCCGCGGGGCTAGCGACATGCTGTGAAAAGGGGAACCCTGTGTCGGAGGCTGGAGCGACCGGATTATGGGGCTGAATAAACTCGATTCACAACAGGCCTTCCGGAGGTTAGTAGGAATTTAGCATTTTAGAAGTCAATCCTCAGTGGTTCACAAAACGCACCACCTGGGAAAGAACCGTGACGCTTTGTGCTGTCCTCAAATGTGAACTCAAAAGTCGGTTTACATGAGCATGCTTTCATTTGCACAAAGTACCTCATACGGCAAACGCTTTGCATTGAGGTAATGACTCACCTAAGATAGTCATGAATCCTTCTCGACGGAAGAGAATGACATGACCAAAGGTGACCGAGGCTCAGCTGTTCATTGGATGGCCGTAAGTGAGAGCAGCATTTTTGCCTCCAACCACTGGCTGTCAGTTCCTCTGGAGTGCGCTGCTTGAAAATGGCGTTAAGTGCCTCGATTTCGTCTCATGCTGCAATGCGGCAAAGATGTGGAAAAAAGGTGCCACAAAAATACTACCAGATGCTATCAGAAGGCTACCTTCATCCGCATTTCATGATGTCATTGAAGGAATATGCAGACATCTACCTGCGTTTTGAACACGAAAAGAGTTCACCTGGACGTTGGACTGAGCCGCTGTCATCGAAAAGTTTTTAAATTCCAATTACTTCGTGTTCTGGTGTCTAAACCCCTTGGCTACAGTATTTTATTTGGAAATGCCATAAGAAGTCGCATTCTTGCCAGTCAGATTCAACAACCGACCGAAGTGTCACAGGCAAACGCCTCAACTAACGCCGACATGGCAACATTTAAACTGGATAATAAGTGCCCTACTTTGTTTCCGTGATAAGTCGGCTCAATTATAACACCGATATCCTTCTTAGGCGTCTGTTCCCAGTCTACGGTTGGCTAGGCAACGTTACACGCCTTGGTTGTTAAGTTACACATCCCCATAGCGCGGCCAGTTCAAAGGTTGGTTTTACATCGGGACCAGGTTATTCCACATGTTACATCCCCTAAAATAATCATTTCAGAAGAGGCAAAACAAAATTTTATTGGCTGATAGGTGTTTCGGCTAATTTATGAAGGTTTTAATAAACGGAGTTAATAGTTGTGGGCCATTAAAATTATAGCGACACTTCAATGCGCCTGTGAATGATTGCCATCTGTTGCCAAAATGTGTTATGACCTGTTTAAATGCGACGATTTTTCAATTTAGAGCAATTATTGAGCCCAGTGAAAGTCACTGGCTAGGGCAATTTGAATGGCCCGGTACACAAACCTCCTTTTGTCGTTTAGAGTATTCGACTGTCTGCATCAACGTAGATGTCTCAATTACTGTTTTCTCGTAGTTCATCGGACAAGTACACTTCAGTAAAGTTCGTGTCTTTGGAGACTTAAGTCTCTGTTGATTTCTCGCATCCGGCATCTGTCGTGGAGTAGGTTCTAGAGATTCACTGTTGTTTCATTTCAAGGCCCTAAAATTTAATCTCAGGTTGGGCTTTGTTGCTAATTTACACTCAGCCGCGTTGGAGAGAATGTGGTGGCGAGAAATAGTGGGATAAATGGGGCTTTCAATTTGCGAGAACAGTAAATTCAACCCGGCAAGTTTCACTGAAAGTCAATTGGGGATCCGGAATCCCTCAAGATGGTTAATTGCCGATTCCATCAGTGTTTGCACAATTTTCTTGATCATGCCACTAATCGGGTCATCCTTGACATTAAAAGCTCTCCGCACCAAGTCGTTTCTTTGTCCTGTACTGAGAAGGTGGGGTCTAGCGTCAGACAAGGGATCTAGGGTATCGATTGCCCGAGTGTGAGTTTTCTGCTTACGAGTAAAACGCAGCAGTTGTCGATGTTGGTGAGATGGGCGGTAAAGGGATGAAAAACCTACTTGAGAGGCCTCATCAGCAGAACCTTGGTACTCACTCGCGGCCTAGAAAATGGTGTATCTTTCGAGTCATGGCACAGGCGTTGCGAGGGCTTGTTCCAGGTAGACCTTGCGTCACAAGACGACGCGTGGAAGGTCAGGCTCTTTAAGCGTAAACTGGGTCTGGCAGAACTGCAGGGGTACTGTGACACGATCCTCCCTAAGTTCTCACTCGACTGCACTTTTTAAGAGACCGGTCAAAGCCTTCATCCTTATTCGGTTCCTGGTACGGGTGTTTCAGGCCCTCTGTAGGGGAGGTCGACGAATTATTAGACCACTTAGCAGTGGTCAATCGAGAGTGCAAGAGAAATCATTTCAAATCAATGGCCGACGACTAGATACAGCCCTCAGATTCCAAAGTTGGCAGATCTGCGAGTACGGCTGCTACATCTGCTCGAGCAAACTCCCACTGTGATGACGCTGGACGAGATCTGTGATGAAGGACTGTGCTGGAGCAGCCTACAGCCGGGCTCCAAAGTGGTCCAGGCTGGGTGCCTCAGTGGTCCCAAGGTCAACACGGTTCAGCTGTTTTGGGGCAGGCGAGAAACGAAACTGAGGTAAGGACCTGATCGGACGACTAGTGGTCATGCGTCAACGTGAACTCATTCATTGCGCTCCATATTTCGCAGTTAACCAATGCTTACACAGAATACTAATAATGTTCAAGTATTTATGTCTAATAACCAGCGAAGCTTTCATGAACCGTCTAAAGTGGTGATTTAATTAACCTCATGTTTAAATATTACGCATCCAGTAGGAATGATTATGAAATTTTGCAAGTTTCCGTGTTCCACGAGCTTTGACCAATGCAGCAAGTCAGTGAAACGGTTTGTTGTGATTCGTGTTTATTCACACCCCTTAATCCGGTTGCTCCATCCTCCGACACAGGGTACTCCTTTTCGCAGCGTGTCGCCAGCATCACGGATCCTCAACTCCCCCCTCATTTGCACGGATATTTATCTTGGATTATCCTCACACCTAGGTCTCGATGTGAGCACATCTGTCTTACACATCTTAGGTATAAATACACACGCACAAACCCCACACACGACACCACGACATTTACCTGGTTGAGCTCTGAAGTAGACGGTTGTATCCACGTCCTCTTCATTTCGGGTACCAGGGAAACGCAATCGGGTCAGGGTTGATTCCGTGGTCCCGGTGTAGTTCAAGACCGCATGCTGAGGCCAACAGCACAGTTTAGCAGTAAGTGTTGTGGGAATACACCATGTTCTATGACATTCAGGCCCACACATCAGTTTCACTAAGCCCATAACTGCGTCACCCATGGCTCTCTCACTTTCAGCATCCATTGTCAGCTCACCAACTTCAAATTTGCTGCTGCCTGCCCTCTTTACATCCCCGTACTGATTAGGCTGTCTGATCCAAAGGTTCCATCTCAAAAGAAATTGAATTAATGTGCAGACGCTCAACCGATTTTCGGCATTTCCTTTACGAAAGATCAGCCATTTGATCCATAGGTTCTTTCTTGACAGAAACGTTTTTGCCGATCATTAAAACGCCCATCCGGTGTAAGTCAACATGAATGCCCTAACGACCAACCAGGATTTACGGTTGCACTTAGTCCGCGTAATTTGGAATTGATTAGTATGCCCATGGGAAACCATGCAATAATTTTATTTATTGAAACTTGATCGGGCACTTTTACCCAAATTAAAGTGCATGAAACAATTTTAACAACCACAGCCATTCATAAGTAGACACGATCATCCTTTCTGACGTGCAAGGACTCCGAAAACTTAGTTCTTTGATATTTTGTAGGAGGAAAAACACCTTTCTTCCGCATAGTTTGAATGTCGGCTAGACTGGGGTCAGATCCGCGCCCTGAATTTGCATTTTAACTCAGCGTCCAGTGCTTGAAGTGTCATTTATAACAAACGGACGCATTTGTAGGTGATGCGGACCTCCACGCCACAGGCCCTTCCACAAAACCCAGGAGTTGTACTTTTAGGCTTAAAGACTTAACACACACGCACACACCTCATTGGTTGGTTTGATTGGGTGCGTACGCGCAAGTTCCACCACCGCAGAGGATCTTTCACTGTGCATGTAAATAGTTACAATGAGATGGCGTATGCAGCAGTAAAGGGAAACCAGGCCAACTCCTCTTCAAGCACATTCACTCCGTCTCAGCTGGCCGCGCGCCTTCGCAATTTTGCAGCCGTCATCGGCCATCCCTCGCATGTCTTCGGCCGTCTCCACCAAACCCGCTGCGCCAATCAGCCGAACCCGACGACCGCAGAACCGGAAATGAAGACGGTTTGCCTTGAAGACTATCAGCGGCAGATTCAGGAGAGGGACGAGGTGATCACGCATTTGCGAAAACAGGTGGCTTTCAAGGACGACCAGATAGCGTATTTGGCCTCGGAGTTGGACAAGTACCAGTCAGTTTTCAATCAAAAGCCTTCGGTTCTGAGAATGAGTCGAAGCTGTCGACACAAAGTTGGCGTTTGCGGTGGCAAAGGCGACCCGGATGGATGCACGAGGAAGCGTGGAATCGGGATTTCTGCGGAACCGCAAGTTCTCAAGCTGGACGAGAAGGAACATCCCAAACACTACCCAAAAACGGCCAAGTAAGTTGGGTTGTTATGCTTACCAAATGAAATAACTCTTTCGAGGTGTAATATGATTCACAAAGCTGCGCAAATTCGATCACTTAGGCAATTGAAAAGAGGCATCCATTTGATCCGATCTCTCCTACCCATGTTCTCTAAAATAAGTTAACTGGTCTAAACATTTCTCCTCGTCACGCCCGCAATCGAACTTCATTGATTAATACAGAAAAAGTCTACCGAAGTCAGCTCTGTGTTAAACGCAGTTGTGAGATTCCTCTGAGGCTGTGGATTTTATTGTTCTTCTAAGCAAAATGCGTGAAAGAATGCTGGTAGCTTGCCGCTTAGCTGCAGAGGCCTAAAAGCGACCAAGCGCGCTACTTAACGCGCTAAACTGACTCCCATAAATGTGGATTTTTAGTTCGAATAAAGCAGGACAGCTCTAATGTCTAAAACGTGTGAGAAGCTTAGGTAAATTTGCAAACAAACCTTAAATATTCATAGCCCAGCATCCCCATTTATCTTTAATGGCAGTTGGCGGTACTGTACCTAGCATTTTCATGAATATTTCAGCGGATAAATTATGTTCCATTAACCTGTAGAATTATATATATATATATGATGCTCCAAATTTTAAAATCGCAAGGTCAATTTCGACGAGATTCCTGATAATATTGTCACCTTTGGGTCGATACAATGCGACATCTGTCGCTGTGCTACGCCATGCAGTCCACCAAAATTTCAACTTCGTTGCGCTAAACTTGATGAATGTAAACACATCCAGTTTCAAATTAGTTAATCCCTATGGAGGGTTCTTAGGAATGCCTCCTTTTAAGCACAAGTGTTCAGTGAGCATATCATTTCCAACCAAGTGTAACTGGGGTCTGTGTTTATTGCGGTGCTTGCAGAGGGTTGCAACACCGTCTCCATCAAGTGTATATTGAATAGAAATAATTTGAGCGTTGTAACTCAACTCGAGCCCATGAGGTGGTCATGAACTTTGGTCCATGAACCATTCCACAACTCAGGTGTCAGTGCCAATGAAATTGAAGAATACGGCACTGTATGATTCGTCGACATAATCACCAAAATCTTTGTTTTTAAAATCAAAATTAGCACCTGCATGTAACTGCATCATGGCCGCACGAATCATGAAAGTTCCGAGTAAGTTGGTGAAATTACAGAGTCATTAGGGTTCTGGACTGACCACTCCGTTTTATGCCCATGATACATGGCCGTGATAAATCTCATGCGGATATCTTGTTATTATTAGCATAGAATAACACTCCTGTTTCGTTACGTCTGAACACGTTTGTTACTGTCCCGCGCAACTTGTGAATGAGGGAGCTTAACAATAACGCATTGTTACAAGTGATCATTGGGATGTCTTTGTTACTGACAAAACCACTTGATACAACGCCCACGTGTCAGCGTCCTCATCAATGCAAATTTTGGCAAATTTTGCTAACAATCAGATTGTTGAGGGGGAAGTACGCGTGAGTCCACAAGACGCGCATGCGGCATCGTTCGACGGTTCTCCTCGCATCGCCAATTCAACTCAAGGCCACTCTGACCCCACGGGTAACCTTGATTGGTCAGGTGTCACATGAATGTTGGTTTGAGGTATAGGTTGATTCTGATCCGCGCTTATCCCGAGGTTCACTCGCAGATGCTTCGAAAATGACTGATAGCCCAAACAGCCAATGGGAACACAGTTCACCGATGTCGAATTGACTGAATTCGTTTTTGTTAAAAGATTGCAATTATGTGTGTTTCTGGTGTGGTCAAATAATCGTGCCCCAGTAATGATAGAGACAGATAATCAGGGCCTGTGGTAGCTGCAGAAAGTGCATTACTTGAGACACTGAATGATCAGCCATAGTCACAGGGAGGGGGACTCCGAATTTTCAGAAAATATCGATCCAGCATTCAATGAGTCATGCGTTTTGGATCCTCAGATTCGCGTGAAGATCCCTAATGGCCTTAAAGACCACCGTCTGTTGATGACTTTGAAAATAATCATATTGCTGAGGCTGTTTGTGCTCGCAGTTCGCTTGGGTCCACAAGATGCGATTCACAAGAACGTGGCATCGCTAGAAGTTCGACCGTAATATGCCCCACAACGCCCATTTGAGACGGTATCGCCCACACATGCTCCATCCAATGAATGACGATTATTATACCTGTCTCGAATCTTTCACCATTACCGTAGAGAAGTTGTCATTTTCGTGTTCATCCAAAGCCATTGGAGATCGCCCCAACAATTTGACCGACTCTGAAAAGAATTTATGCATTTGCATGCTTGCGTTCCCAAATTTTTGGGCTTTTGCAAGAGAAAAGTTACACTGCCATCGAAATTATTCATCACAAAAATGCAAAACTTCTGGTTAAATTTTCATGAGGATTTATTACTCTAGCCATGGCAGCAAATCACAGGGAAGCTCAGAGGGGGACATTGGTTACCCCTGCTCAACCTCTAAGGGTGGCGATTCACGCCTCTCGACGAGATGATGATTGGATGGTGTGATTAGTGCTTGGTTGTTAATTAAAACATAATTACCAGTCAAGTTGGTGCAACGCCAAATATGCGAATTCTTTGCCAGGTTTAGATAGCCGGGGTAAGTGTGCCGGGTTTGAAAATTCTTCTCATCCAATCACGATTAGTGTTCAGGAACCGGACAGAAGTTGCATTTATGCTGTGGCTAAATTCCAGTTTCAGGAGTTCGGCGTGCACGCGACAGTTCTAGGCATCCTTTCTAGCAATAATGTGTGATCAAGCCTTCATGGGGCCATGGTTCACATGACCGAAGAAGTGTTCTTGGCAGAACAAAGACCGGTAGAATTCCCTCCGTATCAGGAGTGAGGTGTTATATCGATGCGATTAGGTATCTACAGCTAACTTCGAATTATCTATATCGGCGCATCAAATATTTCCACCAACTTGAAACACGTCCACTAATGCCAGATAGGGGGAAATAACTGACTTTTTTTTGCTTCAAATAGTGTGCAATCATTGATTTAAAATTGGGCTAAATGTCACTGGTTGAGCGAGGATACTTGAACTGTGAACGAAATTTCACGTAAAAAATGCCAGTATCTTTTGACCCTGTGTTGATTTTTTCACGTGTTTGGAAGAATTTAAGTTGTAACCATTGTTGCACAGAACGAGCAAATCTTGAAGTTGATTAAATGGTTGCGGTGACCTCATCTTGTGACCTCTTCATGGTAGCGCTGTTACAAAACGGTGAACACGATGTGAACTGGAACAAATGCGAAAACGGCACGTTAACCGTTTGCTAGACGGTGTCACAATGCACGTTAGTATAATTGCCAATGTAACGTAAGGCTTCGTAACGTAAAAAAAATCGATGAACAAACCTCTAAACACGACAGATTAATCACACACTGCTAGCGGCCAATCAGGTGCGTTCGTGTAACGACGTGGAGGCATCATGCGTTTAAGGTGCTGGTCGCCCAATCCGTATAAAATTTGTCCACAAATTCAGCAACGATTCTTGATACTCACACACGGTTAACATTCGTATTAGCAAAACAACCGATATAATTACCGCGTAAACACAAATCAAATGAGCGCGGCGTTTTATTTTGAAAGCGTTCCCATCCCATGAGCACCAGAGCGGTTGAAATTGCCATAGTAGATTAAATAGACAATGTAAATAAAACATGCCTGCAAAAGAATTGCGGCTGGAATTTGGAAGCGTAACTCGACAGTTCACCAATGGCTTTCCCACTTATTCTGCTGCTGGACGAAGGACAATCTGCTTGAATATAGACGGCAAATTTAGGACGTTATTTTCTTGTGACAATTAAATACCAGGCTCTTGCTTACTATCGTGAGCGCGATCAGCTTGCATGATAACCGCGACTCTAGCGTTGAGGATCACTCGCTGGCGAAACTGGTGTTAAGATATTTAAGTGGCGCCCGGGAATTGATTCTCACTGAAATACATTTTTCGAGTCAATTTTGAGGGTTATGTGTGGAGCACAGTGCGTGATCATTCTCTCTCTCCTGATCACGTTTGTACTCGTTGAAGTCCGGGTCGTGACCTCGGAAGGCCAGTCGTGTTGGCAGGAGCCAATGGACACAGATTCAGTGGCAGCGCCGCCACAATACCTCCAGACCACGACAACGTCATCCTTCTATCGAATTGTATGCATCAGCTTATAGCCCTACTAGTCTACAGCCCCCAACTACGACATCAGACCATCCAAACGTCATTTTTTTGCAAGAGTGTATGAGTATTGTTAATAGCAATCAATAACCAATGACCTCTGGTCTTAGAGCAGTGGGCACATGGCTGCATGTTTCATTGGCGAAACCTTATTAAAATCTCACTCTAGTGGACATGTTAGCGTCCGTCCTCGTGTCGAGCTCGTCTTCGTGGCTCAGAGACTGTTCGGTTCAAAGAGTTGCCTGGTCAGCGCTCGTAGATGCCAGTACTTTTCGTGTCTGTACTAGTTTTGAGACAAGTGGCCAAGACATGCAAAGGCGAGCGCCGTAGAAATTGTGACGATTTACTAAACACTTGCACAGATGGCGAATACAAGTGGGAAATAATCGGTTTTCGTGTGTTGTTAATGCAAAATGTTTCCATATATATGTACGTGGTAGTTTGCTTATCACACAATCAAGGTTTCCGTTTAACTAATGCGTTAGATGAATCTGCAGTAACAAGAAAATATTGAGGCTTCTATGTGTGGCAAAGCGGTGAAAATCAGACGTTTTGAAAATTAAATGCAAATTGCTTCACAAATGACACTTCGGGTTGTTTTTGAGTAGCAACAGAGAGTGCTTTCAAAAAACGCTTCGAAAATCATGCAAACCCCTTTATTTTTCGATTCTTTTGTCACGCCGGTACAACCGAAATTGTTTATAAGGTCATAAGACATGCGGCCGAAGGATTATAGTGGGCTGAAACACTAGTTTCTACGGTGGGAAATGCAGATCCCGCTTGATATTTCAGACACTAGAAGAAATCGCCCACCCAGTTTTATTTTCTAAAT